CAATGTGTGATTCATGTTACTGCCAATTGTTTTTTGTTTGTTGTCTATTAGACCCATGTCACATGTATATTGTCTAATCTTGGCCAGGGCGCTCTTGTAAAAGAGATTTTTAATCTCAATGTGTCTTTCCTGGTGAAATAAAGGTTATATTAACTGATTGAATAGAGTATCATTGGGGTCTTACAAAGTCTTTAAATGTCTTAAATTTCAATAAAAAATAAAATAATAAAACTTTAAGCCTTAAAAGGTCCTAAATTCGCTAAAATATAGTCTTGTAGGTCTTAAATCATTTTAAACGGGTCTTAATTTTTCTATGTGCAAGTAAAGCTACCCAATCGTGCCAACACCCAATGACCAATAATATCAAAACTTTTTTTTTTTTTTTTTTTTTTTTATTGCAAAGAGATACAAAAACTGCTGTTAGACATCAGGTAAAGAAAACTAAAGCTCCACATTCCTTTAAATGATCTTCCATTCCAATACAGAACCTATTCCAGAAGTAACCGGCCATAAGAAAAAAAATCCTTAGTGTTTAGCTCTGTTTAAATTTTCATTCCTTATGGTCTTGAAGAACCCTTTTAAAAACAACATTCACTTATTGCATCCCTCTGAATGTAAGAATAACTTAAGGTTAAATTTAGATGGTAGGAATCAGGTTTGGATTATATTTTTGGACAGGAATGATGTTGCTGGATAAACAAAATGTTTGTATTGAGGACTGCATCTGAATCTGCAAAATCAGGAGGTGCACTGACATCCAAATGCCTCAAGCTCATGTGTGGACACCTTTGCACATTCGGCCACTGATAAAAAAGGCCCATTTTGTGTCTGTCTGTCATTCTGTGGCAGCTCTGGGTTCCTGCCATAGTGGACCCTGCCTGAGGGAATTATGGAAGTTTGTGTTTTGATGGCTGTTGTGAGACAGGAAAGCAATAGAACGAGACCGTCTCAGAGGAGTTAACACAGATGCTCACCTGTCAGTATCAGAAGCGAGGGAAAGTTGTGTGTATGTGCTTGCGTGTTCTTGTATGGAGTGAAGTCAGTGATCAGGAACAGCTAGACAGATCCTAGAGCATACCGAGTGGTCATGCCACCCTGTCTGGACCTGTTCTGCTAGTCTGTGATAAGAAAAGAGAAAGTGTTTTTTTTTTTTTTTTTTTTAGATCAATCATAAGAGAGCAGGTCTTCTCAGTAGAGAGCTTGTTTTGAGGCTGTTCTTGCATTGATTTGGAATAAAATGAGGTAGTATTTCTCAGTAGACGGGAGGTTTGAAATGATAGTTCACGCAGCAACTCAAATTCTGTCATTTTCTTTATGTTGTTCTAAGCCTGTATCGCTTTCTTTCATCTGTGAAGCACAAAGGAAGAAAGATGGGAGACTGTGTCGTTTGCTCTTTTTCATGCAGTTAAAATGGACATTTTACACAGATTTTGAAAGGTTATTGCCTGGTTATCTTGTTATTATGTTTCGGAAAACTTGTTAATTCTATTAAGTATGTGTTCAAATTTTCATCAGTTTATTTAAGGTTTGTTTTTGTGAGGTTTATACCTCTCAATTAAATTCAAATTGTTTATGTTCTGATCAAATGTGCTTGGTTGTATACTTTATTAATAATGTCATTTTTGTAATGCATTGAGCCACATTCATTCTGATGGTGTATATCTACAGGAGGAACACATTAATTGCTTTCAAATACTAATGCAAACATAGTACCCACTTCTAATGATATCACTCAATTGAATGGCCGTTATCAGTGGATATTAGCTGATAGATATGGGCCAGTAGGGGCCTTCTAGACATAATGGTAGGCTCAGAAGGGTGTTATCATCCATCCACATGGTTAATCAGGTATACTAATAGAGAAGACTCCAGATCCAGATCTGTTTTTACATTACTGTAACAGTTGGATTTACAGTTGGGGTAGGGATAGACGTTAATAAAAATACATTTAATGGGAAATTTAATGCATAATATAAATAATTTTCATGGTTAATCAGCTATACTATTAGAGAAGACTCCAGATCTAGATGTGTTTTTACATTACCCTGACGATTGGGTTGAGGGTTGGGGTAGGGATAGACGTTAATAAAATACAAGTAATGGGAAATTTAATAAATAATATAAATAACTCTTGTTAACTTCCAGCCACAGCAATATGTGATCTATAGCTGATTAACTATGTCGATGGATGAAAACAGCCTTCTGAGTCAACCAGTAGGCGCAGAAGGCCCCTACTGGCCCATATCTATCCATTAAATCAAGTGATAACATTAGAATAGGCTAAACATAGTCTGTATTAGTACATTGTAGGGCACTATATTTATGACATGCAGGCATTGTATGACAAAGTTTCAGATGACTGTTTTATAGTCTACTTCAGCTAGTAAAGCTGTCACATTTTGGACCACATTAAATAAGATTATAAATAATATATAAATTATTTTAAATAAATCAAATAAACTCTGGGTGCTCCGGTTTCCACCTCTACTCAAAGACATGGTCTCTAAGTGAATTGGGCAAACAAAATTGTCCACAGTGTGTCAGTGTATGTTAGGGCTGCATTATATTTTTCTGTGTTAAATATTGCCATATAAATAGAGTTTAGATAGTTGGAAAGCTCTATTTGACGGATTTCAGGGGAGTCTAAAAGTAATCAGGTACTGAAATTAACGTTTGCAATGCAAAAATACTTAGATCAAGAAAATTTTTTTATTTTTATTTTTTAATTCAGATGAAATAAGGAAAAATTAAGAATTTTTCCTTAAAACAAGTTAAATTATCTGCCAGTGGGCTACATGAAATAATCTTGTTTTCGACTAGAAACAAAAAAAATAATAATTCTAAGTAAGAAAACTTTTTTTTGTTGCATAAATCATATAAATTCCATATAAAGTGATTAAATACAAATCTGTAGCTCCTGGTCAACTATAATCCACTTAACATTAACATTGCAAATCTTTGCGATGTGACTATTTCGGATACGCACATTGTACATATATGAAATATGTGCAGTTCTAGTGTGTGTGTGTGTGTGTGTGTGTGTGTAAATGAGTGTGTATGGGTGGTTTTCAGTACTGGGTTGCTGCAGGAAGGGCATCTGTTGTGTAAAACATATGCTGGAATAGTTGGTGGTTCTTTCCGCTGTGGCGACCCCTGATAAATAAGGGATTAAGCTGAAGGAAAATGAATGAATAAATCAAATAACAAATAAAGAAAACCACTCACCGAAAATATGTGTGCACAACATGCTACAGTAGGTTATTTGATAATTGTAAGAAATAAATCACATAAAGTTTTATTTTGCCACCTACTGGCTGTCGTAGTGTCATATACTTGTCATCTTAACTAGCTATAGTATCTTTACAAAAATCTGTTTATTTTTGTTCTTGAAAAAGAATATCCTAAGAATATAGCTATATTTTTCCAGTATCACAGTGTTTTTCCCCTCTGATTCTAACATTCCTGTGATTTCTCAACAAGAAAAATACTAAGAGATTGATTATGTTGTTTAGAAAAGTGAATTTGCCACAATTCCCTCAGCCATTGTATTAGAAACATTGAAGCAGAAGGATTAACCACTGTTCTGTAATTGAATCTGCAATAGTGTTTGTATTAAGGCATGTGGGAATGCAGTAAATAACTTTAAATGATTATTGTTTTAGTTTCTGAACTTTTGAACAGTTTTCAAGCATCAAAAAGAACACAAAATCATTGTGAAACTATTATAAATGAGGACCAACCACCTCATGCTCTCTGTTCAAAGTTGTCTTAAATAAAACAATAGCTTTGTGTGAAAAACAGACTAAAATTTAATGAAACTGAATCTAGGTCATGAAAGTTGAATCGATCAGAATTGGATCTATGAACTGGATCAACTGATTTATATATATATATATATATATATATATATATATATATATATATATATATATATATATATATTATGGAAGTTAATACGTTTTTAATTCAGGGATATATTCAATATATATTCAAATTCTATATAGAAAGAGATGAGATGTATAAACCTCTAAATGCGTCCTAGATTTTTTCTTTTAAAATGAGGATGTTTATCAGACTCCAATGTGGGTTTTAGTAATATCACTTTTATGGCAAAGAAAAAGTCCTTTTCATGGTCTTTTAAGTAAAATAACTCAACATAAACAAAGGAGTCTGAGGAAGAATATTAATTTTCGTCGGAAATTTTAGACAGCACTTAGAGGATTTTGCATTTGAACTCTTAATATCTTCTTTTGTATTAAACATAGAAGAGACTCAAGCATGTTTGGAACAAGTCCACGATGACAGAATTCTTTCACAAATTGGACATTGATCCTAAACCCTATGAATACGTCAAGAAAATTGTCATTGAGTCTAACCTGTTCAAATAAAAAATGTAATAGTGGGAAAGTCATGTAAATTTGTACATTATATATCGTTATTACAAAAAAAAGGTTGCACAGGTACTAATTAACATGTATTAACAACACAATACAAATCCCTTAATGCTAAAAAATTTGCCATGAGGTTGTGTTGGTAACATGACTAATTTCAGTGAATAATGGGTAACATTTTTGATCTATTTATATGATCCTAAGACTTCAAAGCACTGATTGGACCATTTTCAATGTACTTCTGTGTTCTTTTTGATGTTTCAAAGCTGTTCTGTGTTCCACAGGTTAAAAATGTTAAATTACGTCAATTTTCTTTTATGAATGCACTCTCAAGAACCATGTCTTCCAAGCTGAGTGCTCGTGTCGAGACAGTGCTTTCATTGATTCAGAAAAAGAAAGCAGCTATAATAATACTGTATGTCTCTGTAGACAGGAGCTCTAAAGGTCATGTGTTAAATAAAAGAGTTTTTAAACTGAACGCTGATTTGCATGAGCTGTTATACAAGGGTCTTTTGTTATGCCCTCATATGACTGTAGTCTTGTTTAACGCTGCTTTTGTCACATGTTAGTTGCTTTCTAAAATTGATCCTGATGTCTGTGTCTCCTTAGGTTGCAGAGGGAAGTTGTGCGGATTTGGAGCGGTGTGTGAGAGAGACCAAGCTGACCCATCTAAAGGAGAGTGTGTGTGTAAGAAGATTGTGTGTACATCTGTGGTGGCGCCAGTGTGCGGATCTGACTCCTCCACCTATTCCAATGAGTGTGAGCTGGAGAAGGCTCAGTGCAATACACAGAGACGCATCAAGGTGATGCGCAAAGGCCCCTGCGGTAAGTCTAGTCACATTCGATACGCAAGCTGGACTTGTGATGACTTTTGTTGTAAGATTAAACTGAAAACTCACTCAGAAGAGTCCTTCATGGATCCTTACTTTCCAAACTTTTCTCCCTTGCTGTGGAACATAATAATTTTTTTTCTAGAAAAAGTCCTGCTTAGTTTAGTTTAGTTTAGTTTAGTTTAGTTTAGTTTAGTTTAGTTTAGTTTAGTTTAGTTTAGTTTAGTTTAGTTAGGTTTAGCTTAGTTTGGGTGACACCGTGGCTCAGTGGTTGCCTCACAACAAGAAGGTTGCTGATTCGTGTTCCGGAAGGGTAAAATGGCGTTTCTGTGTGGAGTTTGCTTCTTCTCCCCGTGTTTGTGTGAGTTTCCTCTTGGTGCTCCGGTTTATAGGTGCGCTATAGGTAAATTGAATAAGCTTAACTGGCCATAGTATATGTGTGTGGGTATGGGTGTTTTCCAGTGCTGGGTTGGAGCTGGAAGGGTATCCGCTGTGTAAAACATATGCTGGATAAGTTGGCGGTTCATTCCACTGTGGCGACCCCTAATAAATAAAGGTACTAAGCTGAAGGAAAATGAATGAATGAATGAATGAGTTCAGTTTAGATTGGTTTGGATTGGTTAGATTAGGTTATGTTAGGTTATGCTTAGTTTAGTTTAGTTTAGTTTAGTTTAGTTTGGTTAAGTTAAGTTAAGTTAAGTTAAGTTAAGTTAAGTTAAGTTAAGTTAAGTTAAGTTGGGTTAGGTTAGGGTAGGGTAGGTTAGGTTTGGATTGTATTGGTTTGGTTAGGTTAGGTTAGGTTAGGTTAGGTTAGGTTAGGTTAGGTTAGGTTTAGTTAGCTTTACTTTGGTTCGGTTTACTTTACTTTAATTTGGTTAAGTTAAGTTAAGTTAAGTTAAGTTAAGTTAAGTTAAGTTAAGTTAAGTTAAGAGTCAAGCATTGTTTCCCAACCATGTTCCTGAAGTCACACCAACAGTACACATTTTCAACTTCATCCTAATCAAACACAGCTTAACCAACTCATTAGAACATTTGAAGAGACTCCAAAACCTGAAATAAATAGGTCAGATAAGGGAGATATTTAAAATATGGATTGTTGGTGTGTTTTAAGGAACAGGGTTGGGAAACGCTGGTTTAAACTACAGAATATTTTATAAAATGTATGAATTAATCTATCAGACTATTTGCCAAAATAAATATATTTTACAAGAATATTTTACAAGAAAAAAGGCTAATGGTATTTAAAAAATAACATTTAGTGAGGTACTTTTTATTTTATTATTTTATTACTGTTTATTGATATTTTTATTTATCTATTTAAAATAATTGTTTATTGTACATATATGGGATTTAAAGTCTTGACACATTTTCAATGACTCACACTTGCTTTTTTTAAAAGCATTTTAAGCATTTTTGATACACATCTCAAACACCTGTTTTTCCACTTGTTATTATACCTTTCCACATTTTTGAATCCTGATATGAACAGACAATCTGTGACATAAAGAATACAAGTCTGTTCATCACGTACGTTCCAACCAATTTCATCCTATGAATGATAACTACGTTTTCTCGTGCCTGTGGACCGGTCCAGCGTGAAGCATAATTTTGTGATTTGCCAGAACATGTTGTACAAACCCTTCAAAAGAGGTGTAATTAGCCACATCACATGCTGTCCTGCAGGAAATGATCAGGCCTGAGGAATGAGAGCTCCGGCCTAGCAGAACTCCAGCCTTCGTTCAGAAACGCATTAAAGATCACACTGTCCCGGTGTGTTAATGCAGTTGAACTTCGGGCTCCATGCTAATAGACGGCGGCTCCACGGCAGGGCTTTAATGGGCAGGAGCCTCCCTGCTATTGCGCTAATGAAATTGAGAGTGTGGCTATCAGGGGTCACATCTCTCTCGCTCAAATGGGATCAGCAGTCTTAGATAAGGGCCAGATCTGTGTTTCTCCTGGGCAGAAAGGGTGAGACTGAAGCTGGGAGTTAAGTTAGAGGCTGTTGTTTGTTTATTTTTTTGGCAGGTTTTAGTTGAATGTGTATTTAAAATCAAGCCAAATTAACCTGTAATAAAACTTTTATTCTTGATACATAAAATAGTAACAGAGACACCAATATATATTACAGATATCTTGGATGGCCTGGAAGAGAACACAAACAGAGCCAAAAATTAGCCAAAAAGGGACTAGACTTTACTTGAATGGTGTGTTTATAGGACATATTCATAAGTACATTCATAGACTATTCAGAAATCATAAAACTTTTATAATCATCATGAAATATCTCATATAAAAATGTCATATGATTGAGATTTTATGCATGCTTATGACAACTGCCCTTAAGTGTCATTCACTCAGTTATGCCATTTTAAATGCTAAGAAGACATTGTTTGAGATATCTTTGTTATGAAACCCTGACATAAATAGACATCATAACCTGTCTTTGTCTTTGTCATGACTACTTGACATTATAAAGACAACAAAACCAGTCAATGTCTTTGTCTTGACAAGTTGACATTACCAACAAATACAGTTTAATGACAAATGCATTTTGTTTCATTGAAAAAAGTTGATCATAAATATATTGAAGACAATTATTTAGCACAGATTAATGACTAGCAATATTGTATTGGTTATGTCAAGTTGTCATGATATAAACATGTTGTGATGTATTTGTTTATGTAAAGTTTTCATACGAAAGACAAATCAAACAGTGAGTACATATACACATACATATAATACCAATAATCCAATTTTAATACGATTAAGACATTACCATGTAAACAGCTATTCTTAATTAATATAATACAATTCAGGTCACAATAGAACTAAACTAAAATTTAATTAAGACATGTGGATTGTGCCTATTTTAGTCGCATTATTGAAGTGCAGTACAGACATGTAAACAACTTAATCAAACTATTACCATCATGTAGGATTTTCGCCACATTTTGCGCCAGAATATTTCATACACACATGGGTTTTTTGACACAATTCTCTGCACCTACTGAATCAGTAAAGGACCACAGACACCTGCAACATGAAATGCTTAGGTTTTTTCCCATATGACTTGCTGTATCAAATTCTATTAAAACAACACTCTTCCAGCAGGTCATACATCCAATATCTCGTTTGTCATGGGGGCATGCATAAAATGTTCCTGAATTTAATTTGCTGACTTTAACTGCCAAACTGCAGTTAAAGTCGGCAAATTAAAAATAAAACACCTGAAATTACATAATTGTATGTAATTTATCTGAATAACTTTGCAGAAAACGTGGATAACGTGGTGACACAATGACGTTAATGGAATTATGTGCTAAACAGGTAAAACAGGATCATAAAAGGAAAATAAAAACTCATGTAAACACCTTAATCATATTATAGACTCATTTAGATTAAGGCAAATATTTGATTACTGATGTCCATGTAAACATAGTAAGTGTCATCTCTCCATTTAAATTTACATAACTGAACTTAATAACACTTAATAACAGTATGCATAATACCTCCTTCATTCACGACATGTCATGTTATAGTTATAAAGGTCATGGCAGTATTATAAACATCCCCTATAATTAAACTATTACCAAAAATGTTTTTTTTTAATGGAGGTGATTATTTGATTAAGTAATGAATGTTCATATTTACTATTGTCATCCTTGATTAATCTAAGTTGAGAGTAAAAATTAAAGTCAAAATTAATATAATTAACAAAACATTTGAAAGTTAAACAGGATAACATGTATAGCTGGTAAGTTTCTCAATTCAAGCTGCATTGGCAGGAGTGCCAAAGGGTTAATTTGGACCCCCGGGCACAAGATAAGAGGTGAGAAATGCACCGAAGTGGCGCGTGTTTTCAGAGATGAGCAGGGGAGCGTGGGTGCTCTGATAATATTGAACTCTAGTGTGTAAACAGAGTCTCCAGCTGTTTGTGCAAGTGAGTCAGTCAGGCAGTCAGTCATTCATAGAGTGAGAGTGTGTGAAGCTCATTCCAGTCTGACCGTATGCTGGAGCTCATCTGGATTGGCAGTAGCGCAGCGGAGCATCGGGCCTGAGCGATTGATCAATAGAAGGATTGATCATATGTGTGCAGAGCACGTCTGGAATTACTGTGATTGCCAGGAGCGCTCTCTTTTCTCACTCTGTCTTTTTTATTTATTTATTTTTTATTTTATTATGTCTGTTCACCTCCAGCCTGATGAAAAGCGCTCTTGAGTACCCGCAGCACGAAAGAGGTAAAAACCTGTGCATCAAATATTCACTCCCGAAACCAGGCCTACAACTTAAGCTAGCCGCTGAGGCTGAAACTGTCGGCTTCTGTTGTCTAAATGAGGTTATTCTGCTGTACAGGAGAGCGGGGGTGGAAAAGCCTTAACCTCAGGGTATCATGGGAAGCTGCTTAATGGAGGAATCAATATGTTTGTCCCGTTAATTACGGCTGAAACTGTGTTCCTTCACTTGGGAAGTATGGCTCATTTCTCCCATATTCTTTACCTGCTGTAACTCCAGGTATCGATGCTGTTGGATGCATTTGGGTCGTTTTTCTCCTTCAGTTGTTTCTCATGCTGTCCAACGTCTGATGAGCTACATGCGAGTTTCATTGTCCTGTATTCATGTCAGAGCTGAAGTTCATCCAAGCACATAACGCTTGCTGAAGCCATGAGAGATTGTTGATTCATGATCGTTCTGCAAACACATCTCAGTCAATATTAAAGAAACTCTCTGAGTTTACCCTGAGGCGAAGCAGCATTGGGGATACACTGTTTGAACGCATTATAACAGTGATCCATCTGAGAAGAATAGGACAGAGTGTTTTCAAAGAAATGTGTGATTAATAAAGCTTGGATGTAGATGAAAGTGGGCTTTAATTAAAGCTTTGCTGAAAGGTGTAAAACGACTGTGGTACTAGTGGAATTAACTTGTGTTGCATAAAATAATTATTTTTTTATAATTTATATAATCTAGAAGATATATTGATGGGTTGAAGTAAAT